TTTAATAGACGGGGACACTGAGGCATCTGAGAGGTGAGGTGGTTGCCTAAGGTCGTGCAGCTGGCAGAGCCGCCCAGCAGAACTGCCCGCAGGGGTGCCAGTGCTCCACAGCTGTACTGCATTCGCCAGCCACGTGTGGCTAGTGCAACTGAGGCACCAAATTCTTCATTGTATTTAATTTTAATTAATTTAGCTTTAGATGACCCCGTGTGGCTAGTGGCTACCGTAGTGGACACTGCAGCTCTAGAGCCTGTGGCTCCATCAGCGTACTGCCCTGCATCTGGGCCAGCTCAGGAGACAAGGATCCCTGGGGTGGCAGGGGGAGGGGACAGAGGAGTGGTCCTAGGATGAGCTTCGGGGGTCTGTGAAGCGCTCTACCTCGGCGCTGTACGTGTGTGCGTGTGCACACGCGCACGAGCCCAGGGAGGTGGGCTGCGGCCTTCACTGGGTTTTCAGACGCACCCGTGAAAGAGGAAGGGCCGTGAGGTAGAGCGGTTTTCAGTCTTCAGCCTTAGAACCCTTCTGTCCAAATAAAAGTTCATTTGGATGACTCTAAAATGGCTCTGGAGGACAGCTCATGGGAAAAAAAAAGTTTATTTGGAGTCTCAATATAACAGAAAAACAGAGTGGTTCTTGTTGAAATGGGGGTAAGACTCAGAAACCCCACTTATCTCAGTTACCCCCATGGTAAGAAGCTTCTCTGGGCCGTGGAACTAGTTGTTTGAGAACCACTGATATAACCAGTCAAGGCCTTGGGTATCGTCAGCCAAGAATGAGAGTGACATTTGATTTGGTTGTAGAGTCATCCTAAGAGATGGAACCTTTCCGGGGGCCCCCAAGGAGCGAGCGCAGAGTATCAGGGGATCTGGCAATGGGCAGTCATCTCCTTCCGGGGCTTTCTCCCTCTGCCCTGACGTCCTGATCTGGCCTCTCTCCCCAGTCTTGGAGGCCCTCAACGTGCTGGTGAACAAACCGAATCTGGGGGAGCCCCTGCGGGTGGAACTCGCCGACCTGCTGACACAGAATCCAGAGCTGTTCAGAAGGAACGCGGAAGAGTTCACCCTCCAATTTGGAGTGGACCGGCCCAAATAACTCTGGTCCTGACCCCTCGCTGCGCTGGATCCTCCGCATGGTGGATGGACACACCTCGTGGACTGGGACGAGAGCCCTTTATGGCCCATTCCTTGCGCATTTTTCCTCTTTAAGTTGTTAATTGTGAGTTCGTGTGTGTGTGGCGGAGGGAGGGGGCTGTGGGAACATGTGTTGTGGGTGGACTGACTCCCAGGTTCATCTGGCCACAGGTGCACCCCTCCCACTCCTGGCCTACCCCAGAGCCAGGGGAGTTTCGGTTTGCAGAGGTGCAGGCCGTTCTCCAACTCCCCATCATAGAGGGGCAGGCCCCTTCCAGGCCAGCTTGCAGGGAATGCAGAATCCCCCCAGGGCCAGGCACTGAGGGGCCGGGGTGGTGGGGGGATCTTGGATCTTGAGGGGGAGGCACCTGGAGGTTCCCATATTGATGACTGTGTGATTGAAATCAGCCAAACTACTGATAGGCATGTTCGGATTTAGGTGCTAAACCTTTTATTTCCCATTGACGAATCGTAGTGTGAAGAACCTAACTTCCACCCCAGAAATCTGACTACATGTTTCAAAACCACTCGCTGTCTCTCCTGTTGGGTTGCCAGTTCCTGGGGACCATGCCTCAGGCCGTGAGGTGTGTGCTTCCATTCTGGGGTGGGGGGCACACAAACCATGTGCTTTCCTGCCATTAAAGTCACAGATGAATTCTAGAGTTCAGCAGAGTCTTCGATGAGGATGGGCTGGGGATTGAGCTGCTATCTAATAATAAAAGGTGTGACCCTGCTTCCCTAGATGATCCCCAGACACTGTAGGGAGTGCTGGCCATGAGAGAACAGCCGTCCTTGGCCAGAGGAGCCTTCAGAAGGCCCACAGGGGGAACATCCCATGTTGTAGATGAGATAGCCGAGACACAGAGCACTCCGGTGGATTGCTGGGCCAGTCCGCCAAGCAGGCAGAGTCCACACCTCCTGCAGGTGAGCTGAGCTGCCTGGGGTGCGTTTTGTGCTTTGCTTTTTATGAGCTGCTCTCATCAGCACCCATACCCCAAATGGCTGATAAAGCCAGACCAGTGTTAGCAGGAAATTGTAATCAGCCCAGGGGTTCATCTCTTCAGCTGGAGTTGGAGGGATTGACCTCACCCGAAGGAAGAACTTTCTGATTGTTGGAAGCTACTGGAAAGTCGCTGGCTTTTGAGAGACAGAATGGGAGGCATCTGTGAGTCGAGGGAGTCAGCCAGTTTGGGTGAGATTTCTAGAGAATCTTCTACTCCAGCTCCTGCCCTTGAGTTCCCTAATCTGGAAAGAGGAGAAGATAACTGGGAAAAGTGCCAGTGGCTCGAAATTTAAGTTTGTTTTTTATGTTTGGCAACCACTTATTGAGCACTTAATGTGGGAGGCACTGGGTGAAGCTCTTTGCCCATTTCTTTGTCTTATTTAACCCTCACAACACCTCCGTGAGGTTGGAATTCCCATCATCCTCGTTCAGACTATAAACTGAGGCTCAGAGAGGTTAGCTGTGTGGCCCAAGGTCACACAGCTGGTTAGCTGGGACCAGGGCTATTGTCCTTTCTGGAACACCTCGCACAGTTATTGAGAAGTCGCATCAGGTGAGGAAACCCTTGTGGCCAGGGTTTATTATCTCGGAGCACAGAGTTTCCCAGGCAGAGAACGCTGAGGGACCAGACAGGATTTTACAAAAGCACTTTTAATGCAGTTAAGACTGGTGCCACCTGCTCTTGGCCAAGCCCTGGCTCTGTGGCCACTGCGGAGCAGAG